GTATCAACAGCTTCTGCAGCTGTTTTTTGTTGCTTCTCCACTCCCAGGCTGTTCATGCCTTTGCTAAAGAGTCGGAACTGGTCAGCCTTGCTCCCCCTTGGTTAACCCAGGAGTGCTCATGAAGAGAGTAAGAACCAGGAGGAAAGACAGGCCAAATGAGACCGTATGGGGACATTCCACTCCTCCCAGAAGAGCTCTAGGGCAGAGAAACTTCATCTTGCAGAGGAAAAGGGTTCTAATTCACTCTGTGGTCCTGCATAAGTTGTGTGTTTGTTTTAAAGACCACTAGTCTTCCCCTTGATCTTCATTTTCTATGCATTTAGAACCCAAAAGGCATTGAATGAAAAATATTAACTAGTACATACCAGCCACATACCTGGCTAAAGGTAACTTCTAGGTTCACAGAACAGACAAAACACATCCACTCTCACAGCAGTGTTGCCAAGATCTCTTGTCTTAAGAGCAAAATACAGGAAGTGTGAAGAGTGAGAAACTCACGGTACCAAAGAATTTAGGGCAAAATAAAAGAAGGTGTTACTAGAAACAACTCGGTGATCACAGTGAAATGCTTTCTTTAAATATGAGTTAAATTACTTTCCATTTGTTTTCCTTCTGCAGCTTGAATCTACAGCCCTGCACTGGGCATGCCGTGGGGGAAACATGGATGTTCTCAAATTTTTACTGGACAAAGGGATAAACAGAAATGCAAGAGACAAGGTATGTGCTTCTGGGGCTCTGCAGCTTTTTACATTGGAGATGAAAAGCTGACCCCTACTCCAAGTAGATCATGTTTGGCAGCTGTTCTTGGAGCGGTCATTACCTGTTTCATGTTACTGACTGCTTCCTCCTCTCACCTCTCAGCTGCTCAGCACCCCTTTGCATGTGGCTGTGCGAACAGGTCGGTACGACTGTGGGGAGCACCTCATTGCTTGTGAGGCGGATCTCAATGCCAGAGACAGAGTAAGTACCAATAACTTCTTACCTGTCAGCTATCAGGTAGCATCAAGCTGCTGTCTGCCTTGATAGTTCCCATTTGCCTTTGTAAAAATCCCTGACTTCATGGCTGGGGCTGGTCCCCAGTGCCGGATCAGTGGGATTGATGCTTGGTCCATGTCTTTTGCCTCTAGGAAGGAGACACACCGATGCATGATGCTGTGAGGCTGAACCGCTACAAAATGATCAGGCTTCTGATTCTGTATGGAGCAGATCTAACCATAAAGAACTGCGTAAGTAATACCCAAAAAAACGCCAGTGATTCAAATGCTTTGGAAGAAACTTCCCTTCAGAGCAGTTTCATAGGTTTCAAGGCTGGGAGAGACTATTTTGAACAGTCTTAATTAGATCACTTCAAGCTAATTAAAGCAGAGATGACAAAGGGAAAGTATAACTTGGGAAGATTGGAGAGAAGAAGAAAAACCTCTTCTAAAGCCAGATCCCATCAGCTACAGTTTAAAAGAACATCACAGATTTCTAGGATTTTTTCTAATTACACACACAATACATTGAAAAGCTTTAACATACAGACACTTGCTCTCTGCACAATTCCTGGGTTTCAACCACCAATGAGACAATGAAGATCTTAGCTTCTCATAGAAATCTGCTCTGTTTTCCCACAGCTGATGGCAAGCCCAAGCACTACACCTGTATGACTGGCCATTAACCTGACTGTTGGGCAACAAATCCCCAAGCCTTAGCAGAGCTTCAATTTAAGAAGCCTCACACCTGACTGCTCATAGCTTCCACAGCAGCAGCAGCAGACACATTGCTGGAGCTGAGACCACTTGTTAAAAATACAGCACGTCACAAACCCTTTCTCCCAAAGCAAGCAGCAGTGGGATGGATGGTGTGTTTTACCAATGCCAGTTAATGTTTGATTGGCAATCAATCAAAATTTAAGAGAGCAAGATAAAAAAGTCACTGCAGCACTTTGCAGTCCCTGCTCTCTGCCCATGCTCTCTGAAGCAGTGCCACTCCCAGCATTATCCCTCATCAAGGTATGAAAACAATGACAGGTACAGCCCTGAAGGCCAAAGACTAGCTCTTAGGCTTCATCTGCACACAAAAAAAGTTGCTCCTGTTTAATGTAGATGTGGTCCATAACTTAATTAAACCAGAACAAACTCTTATCTGAATTCTCAATTAAACCTGAGAGTGTCTCACTGAGGTTTCATCTCCACGTATTTCTAATTAGTTTAATAGATCAAAAGAAACACCTGCATGCTCTGCTAGTCATGGTATTTGCTAATACAGCTTAGACCCTCTGAAACCCAGGGAAATTTCATCATGAGTCACAACAAGGACTGGGAGTAGGTCTGTGGAGCAAAAGGACTCTGGGCTTAGGATAGTAAGTCTGAACCTGTGAATGCAGACATCAGGCAGATGCACTGTAAAAATATTTAGTAAAGAAAGATGGATTCAGTAGTCACTGACTGAAACTAAATCTTGCTTCTGCTGCTCTTCTAACCAGCAAGGGAAAACCCCTATGGATCTTGTTCTTCAATGGCAGAACGGCACCAAAGAGATATTCAACAGCCTTAAAGACAAATCCTATAAGAGCGGCCACCCAGGCAAGTTCTGAAGATAGAAACCAGACTGCTCTTTTTGCTGCTTTTACATGCTTCATGTGAACCTGGAAGAAAATAGCCCTGAACATAGTATTTTTACTGAAAATATTTATGATACTGCATTATTTGAGGTACCGTCACTGAAAACTGCAACACAAACACGCGAATTCTGCTAACAGGCAGGTTGAGTGTTAAAATTCCACTGGTTCTAAAATGGCTTTATTTATTACTATTTATTTTTTATTTATTTAAAAGGTCATTTTTAATGATTCTCAATATTGTAGCTTTCTTTTTAATAGAGCTTTACATCATAATGCAATCTTTGCCAGAAACATAAATCTTTTTGTCTTAGATAGGCAGGATTTCCAACTATATTAGCAACTTCCCTCAAACCTTCCAATAGCTCTAAATAGCAGATACTTGCAACTGTTGCCTTGACTTTGTCAAATTCTCACTATTAAAATAGTATGCTAAATGAGTGGTGATATGTGGAAGAACAATGGAAGGTGTACTAAGGTGTCAAGTGGATTTAAAGAAGCAGTTGAGTAATGGAGTTTAGACAGGGTTTGGCAATTGTAGATGATAAAGGGCTCTAGGACAGAGCTCTACCCATCACGTAACCATTTGGGCTGTGGGATTCAGATGCAATGTTATGAAGGTGAGAGGAGACAGTATCAGGAATGTGAATATTTTTTAAGTTAGACTACTAAGAAGTCTGATGATTTAAGAATGCAAAAGCAGATTATGTATATTTGTAAATTTGTACTGCTTTTTCTGTACATTTTGTACTAATCTATTTCAGATTAAATAAAGAGTAGTTCTTTTTATTTGCTGGAGTGGTACGCATGCACAGGGTGATTCTGTCTCTCCGTAAAGAAATCTCATGTCTTGGCCAGAAAGCTCAGAAAAAGTCTCAGCTCCCTAGAGCAGCCCACCCTTGAGCTACCTCCCTGTTACTGCAAGACAAATGCCATCTCTTATTTTGTTAAATGGAAACACATACACAAAAGCAGAAAGACAGTACTTGAGTAGCTAGTAAAACAAAGCTACAGTTTTATTACCGAGTTTGATTTAAAATCTGTTTCTCAGCAAATCAGTACTTACTATGTGGAGCACGAGACAGCTTCAGTTATCCAAGTCAAGGGCAATGCGAGTTCTGCTAGGAAAGGCAGACACCTCTCCCTTTGCTTTTGCAGATGCAAAACAATCTTAACAGTGCTGCTGGCAGGGGCATCAACATCCCATTTCACTGGGACATTACATGATGCATTCACTGAAAATCCTGATGCCCCATGGCATGGCCTCCCCGAGAAATTCATGACAGGCTCCTGCACACCTTCAGCAAGCTCTGTCACTTGGCTTCCAGCCATGAGGCTTTACTGTCTCGCCAAAGCAATGTCCTGGGCAATGAGGTGGGGTCAGGAGCAGACGGTGATAAACAGTTGTTATAGGAGTGCCAATTTTGGAGACTAAGTGAATTTACAGAAACCCTGCACAAGAGCAAGCAGAGGAAATGCCAGTTCTGTCTGCAGCCAGCTACCCTAGACTGAGGCCAACAGTTTTAGACAGATGAGACTTTTCTTACACAAGCACCATAACTCACGAGTGTCACCTTGCCAGCCACAGGCCTTATTTGTGAACACACTCTTCTCCCTGAAAATTATGGCACACCTCTGCTCGCTGCCCTTCTCTGCAAGCCACTACTTCACTACTTGTTTGTGCACAATTACCCAGACACTGGGAGCATTCCTTGCAGGAAATAGAAATGACATCAGTGCTGGCTAACTCTGTTTATCATCCTAACTGAGGAGTTCAATTGTTCAGGCAGCAAAGTGGCCAGAACAACATGCTTCAGGAAACTGGTGGAGAAGAAACTTTTCAATCAGTTCCTGAAGCACTGTATCTTAAAGGATAAAGATACAAGACTGTAAATTTTTTGTACCAAGTCAAATGCGTAGCAAGGACTTTTAGCATTCAAAGCCTCCTCCCATATGCTAGTTTCCAAACAACTCCTGCCATGCTCAGGGTATGTCACTCAGAAAATTGCACTAGACAAAAACATTTTGCTTTTTCTCTGATTAGAGCATGATCATTTTGGAGGTAAGTCCATAAATAGCAAACTATGTGTGTCTATGTGTGTGTGATACATACATATAACATCCCAACAACTAGACTAAAACAGACTGAAATCATCAAATCAACAATAACTCAAAATTTGTTGAAGCAAAAGGTGTTGTGACTTATATACCAGCATTATATAGAACTGTTACTCTACTGAGATCTTCACCTATTCTCCTCAGTCCAGTTACCAAGAACTCTGAGATGATCCACTGCAAGATTTCTGGAATATTTTACATGCTGTAACTTCCACTTCTCAACTTGTCAGATGCAAATACAGAACTGGAATATTCACTGTAAAGCTGGCTCAAGAGTATCTTGAGTACAGTAGCTTACGTAACTTTTTATATTGGTTTCATCAAAAGAAAAACTTCAGTCAACATTTGGAAGAGCTCTGACAATGCTCTGCTGATTATAAATCTGTTATGATTGCTTTTTTGGCAGCCAGATTAAGTTTACTGAGGCATTAACAGGAAGGAAAACAGAAAGGCAGGAGGCAGCAAAATGAACACTCTCCTAGACAACACTGCCAGACCAGGACATAAAGAAGGAAATGATGCAGTAAAAATGATGTGACATGGAGACTGCTCAGGCCTAGGTGAGACAGCTGTTATGCTGCGACTGCAACACAGCATGCTGAACACAAATTCAGTGTAACCTTGGGCTCTTCCTTCCCATCTGCAGTAACCATCTCATGTGACTGTGGTTTTAAGAGCTGCAGGACAGGGATGGCCCTTGGGATGTGTCTCTCGCAGTCAGGTTAGTCAGTCCTACTGTAACACAAATCCAAAGTATCTCCTAGCAAGTGACAGAATCTAGGATCTTCTTTATAGCCACTGGTCACAAAACAGAACGGGAAGCAGCGTTTTGTTTTGTTTTTTCTTTACTGCACAATTATTCTCCACAGGCCCCTGAAGGTAAACTTCACCTGCTGTTTGCAGCTGTAAGGTTTAGTACAGAGATGTTTAAAACTTGAGGAACCATGAGCTATACTTTCAAAGCATACATTCTTAGAATGTTTTTTAATTAAAAAGGAATGCACTTGTACAACTGAAAATTTGTTAGAAACATCATGTTGAGTTTGCACTATCTTCAGAAGACCTAAGACAGGGTGGAGAGAGAGTCTCCTGACCTTGGCCAGAAGCCCAGCATGACCTTTTAGGTGTGGTGAACTACCATACAGCGGTCTCATTCCCACAGCTTTCCTCACTTGAGCAGCAGAAGAATTCTTCTCCAGGCTAAATAAAGTAGTAAGGGAGGAATGGGAGTAGCTGGAGGGAGAAAAATGTCTCAACACCGGGTAAAGATGGGATGGAGGTTCTTGTTGATAACTGGTTCAGTCCTCAAGCTTGAGTCTTAGCTTTTTTGCAGGCTGGCAGTGTTTCATCCTCCTCAACCTTGCGAGGCTTCTTCACTGTGTACACTATCCCACAGGCACTCTTCCGAGTTTCTGGAATAATATAAGCAGAAGCTGTAGTACCTCAAATAAAATGACACATGCATTTAATGTTATTTCAGGTGCCCATGCCCCAAAGCACAGTTCAACATGTTTAACAGCCAGCCGGTCAGCACTTACAGCAGGTAAGCAACCTGCATAGGCAGGAGCTGGGGATACGCTGCACTATGGAGGGGGGAAACCCGACACTGGGTGTAGAATTACAGCAAACATAAGTGAAAACTGAGGTCTGTGGTGGCTGAGGGGCTGCAGACACACAAGAACATAGGAAACCAGGCTTAATCAGTTCAATAGGCTCAGGACACATTCTTGAAGCACTGTCAAAAGCATTTCTGAGCAAAACATACTGTTCTTCAAAAAAAAAATAAATTCACATAGGCCAGGATTCTTAAACAGACTGTGCTGGCACAGCTCTGTTGGCAGAGGCTCCCCTATACATACCAAGTAAGTAGCTTTATGGTATTCAAGAATATTTTATTTACAGAACCCTCAGCATTACCATAAAATACTACCGTGTGATGTTACCAAACTCCTCACAAGTTTGCCAAACAACCTCGTGAGCCCAATCCAATTTCATAACTACTGGTGGGAGGCTTCTCCACAAAATTTGAGGTAGAATAGATTCTCTACAAATACTCTGTTAGCAAAGAGGCTCTCGAAGAACCCTGCCAAAATGTACTGACTTATTCTGGGCTAGTATTCTCTGGGGACAGGGAACCAGTACTTGCTATTTAATCAACAGATGATGGTCTTGAGAAATTCCACATAGACTTGACAAAAATTCTTCCCATACGCTGTCTCTGTGCTGGGGAATAGCAGCTAGAGAAGAACCCCATTCTCAGAAACACCAAGACGTCAAAGCTACCTGCTGTGAATTACAGCAGGCTCAAGCCCCACCTCTACTGAAACAAGTAATGTAAACCAAATCCTACTGTGCCTTTGAAACTTAGAGCAACTTGTTAGGAAGGTGACCAGAAATCACACATACCCAACAAACCTTGACAGAGGCAGGCATAAAGAGCTACATGTAACTACTCAGCCACAAAGTTGAACTGCCCTCAGAATAAACAGCAAAATCAAGAAAGACTGAGAACCAATAACTAAGCATGTGAAAGGGAGGGTATGGATGAAGAAGTTGGTGCTATGGTGGAAAGTAAAGGTCTAAACTGATTGCTGGAACATCAACTTTCACATCTCTGCTGCACTGATACCAGGGCACAAAATACAACTGGGAACCTTTTGATTTCCAGTGAAGGGGGCCACAAGCTAAATTTCCACTTTCTTAATATTAACAATGGGCAAACAGAAGACAGCTACTACGAGCTGCCTCTGCTGAAAGCGTAAAGAAGCAAGGTTTGTTTCAGCACAACACTTCAGGCCACTGTATACTATATAAAATTTTTTTTTCCTAAGCAGCAAGCACTCAGGGTATTTGATTTTGCATCGTTTGAAACGGTCCAGACTGAAAAGCAAGTGAAAAACAGACCACATATTGAAGCATCAGAAAGAGAGATGGCAAAGGTTGTTTCCACACTCATGCTGCAAGAGGGTTAAAACAAAATGCATCCTGATTTCCTCGAAGTCTGTGACACATTTTCTGCTGGTGCTACCAAGATCAGCATTCAACCCTTTCTGAAACAAGGGATGGGATAGTTTCACTAGGAAACACAACAGGCAGATCTGTGTTTTGGCTAAACAGTTTATGAATCGCTAATGTGGTTAAGCAAGTACTCCAGTACAGACAGCCCACTCAGTTCAGCCACTGGTTTGCTAACACAGCAACTAGGGAAAATAAAACACCCTTGCCACACAAGCTCCTCTTCATGCATTGGACAAGGGAGCTAAAACCCCAAACTGACTTACTCTATAAGGTCTCAGGCCTTTTGGAAAATATGCATTAACATGAACTTAGTTTAACAAATGCACGTTACTTAAACAAGCTCGCATGTGCTTTTCACTTACCTCCATGAAGCATGGTGGCTCTGCAGTTGGTAGATACGGCTGCCTTGGCTTCACCTTCTGACAGGCCAAACAGCAAACCTCTGTCACCTTTGCTCAGGATCAAAATGCACAGAAAGGAACAAACAAAACAGGGAAGTCCGTCTGCATGGTAGGTTTGTTTGCTTACTCCACAAATAACTGGGAATTAGCGAAGCTGTAACTCAAAGTGACATTTTGCATAAGGCTACCCAGAGGCAGGGAACTGAGGCACCCAATTCTCCCAGCTGCAGTTCCCCAGCAGCCCTCCTGGAATGCTCCTGGCAATGTTGCTTTTTTCCAGACAAGGAGCCATACTTTTGAAAATAAAGGTCTGCCATCACGGGAACATTTTTATGTGAATAATAAGCAAAAATGTTACCCCATTAAAAAGCTCCGGTCTGGGGGAAGGGCACTGTCTGATACAAAAGCATTATGCTGAAAAGTTCCCATCCACCTTCAGCAAGGATGACACCAGATTAAGTATGCTAATTTGGGTTGAGCCTGACTGCTCTTTTTAAGAGGGAAGGAAATGTTGGGCATAAAATCTTTCCAGGCCACACAACCTCCCACACAGTTCTCATGACTCAGAGCACGCTCCTTCCCTTTGAGGGGCAGTCTAGATACATGCTTGTCAGCCAAGGAGGGGGGAATAGTAAAAATAAATCTGAATTCCTAAAAGAGGGGAGAAAAGACACTCTCCTTGGTTTCTAGAACATAACCACTTAGTTACATATGTGCGGGTAAACAAGGACCGGAAAATTCAGAAGTAACCAGCATTCTGATAGGAACTTTATCTTTCTTAATATAAATTCAATTTTATAGCTTCTACTAAAGATGTGGCATCTTGGAGATCACAGTGATAATTTCTGGTTTGGTTCACAGTGTCCATAGATTTTGGTGTTTTTTATTCATTTCCCCACTTAAACCCACACAGTATCAATACATATCACAATCAAACATACCTGTAGCTGAACAGAGACATTACTATTTAGTGACTGCTCATGCCACCTCAAGACCAAGATGTTGCTGTTCCCACACCCACTCAGTCTCAATTCATTGAACTGGTCATCAGCAATCATTACTGTGTGAAGTTCAAGGAGTGCAAAGGATAGAAGTATTTCAACACTGCTTTGAACTTTCATCATGTTAATAGTAATTGCTGTCTTTTACTTGAAAAAAGGATACAGATTAGCCACGTCATAAGGACCTCGTAGTTCTAGAGGCTAAAACGAAACAAAGAAGGTTGGACATGGCAGGGGACTGGAATTAGATGATCTCAAGGTCCTTTCCAACCCTACCTATTCTATGATTCTAGATGTGCATCCACTCTCTCTCAGGCTGACACAGTGTGACCAGCAGGACAGGGACATAAGGAAGGCAAGATTAAATACTACATAATAGCAAACTGCTGAAGATGCACTAGGAAGCCAAGCAAGTACTACTATTTTGGAAAACACAGTCCTCATCTGGGAGAAAACTGTCATGGAAAATACCACAGCAGCAAAGAAAACCCCACCCAATCAAAAGAAAAAAACCCAAACCCACAATACAATTCTTTGGCAAAACATTGATTAAAAAAACATCCACAAGATGAAAATAATATTTAAAATTACAATTTATTTTCATGTTTAATATGCAATTAGAGCTCTATTTTCAGGCACTGATAAATCCTCAACTTGTTCTGACTTACAAAAAAATAATCTGGGACTTACCCTTTCAGCTGCACTAGATATGACAATATTCTAGAAAACAAAAGAGAACAAACATTCATCTGTCAGACAGCATCAAGAAATGAAAAAAAAAACAACAACAAAAAAATCAGCAAGCTGCAAAGACTTTATGAGCATTACCTAAGTTCAGGCTCAGAGCCCAATTAAACATCAGAGCATCTGATGCCTTCAGAGTTAGTGAATTCGAGCAAGGTGTGGATCTTAATCTGGGGACATGAATAAACCCCGGTCATCCCCTTGGCCCCTACAGAGAGAGAGAGGCACAGGGACAAGACCCCCTTTCAGTTACACTTTCACAGACAAATGTGAGATGAACAAGTACCGCACCTTTCAGAGGTAATAGATTAAGCAATATAAATGTCAGAGTGATGGCATTAAGCCAGTATCTCTCATAGTATACTTTAAAGGGTAAAGAAGAAACACAGAGCTGTACACACTGTGTTAAGTGCTCCCTTTATCTACACTAGCTGAAAAAGGCCTCACACAAATGACAACTCAGCCTGAGCTGTAACAGAAGAAGACTTAGAAGTGGAGTTCAGGATCTCCCAGCACCAGCTTACAGATAACTGCCTTTTGACAGCTTGGTGCTCCCAAATTTTCAGCCTACTCCGTGCTGCAGTACAACTCAATCCTAACCTCAGCATTCACGCTGGCTTTAACTGAACTCACACTGGTGTCTGAAGCTAGTGGCTGCCAGTTCATGCCATACACTCACTTCCATCAACACTGGCACCCCCAGGAAAATCAGCAGGTAGAGACACATCCTTCTCCCCCATAGGGTTTCTGCAGAAACTAACTGCTTGGGGGCTGGCAGATACCACAGCTTAGCTGCCAGTGCTCTCCTGTTATTAAACCTCCAAGGATGCTCACTCAGTGGGTGGCTGTTTTGCACAGGCGGAAACCTTGAAGCAGCAAAAAAAAAAAACCCTTGCACCTTTTATTATACTGAACGAAAGGCTTTGGGAATTCCTGCTTGAGTGGGTGGGAATGAGCAATTGTACTGAGGCAGCGAAAGACTTTCCCTCTCTGACGTCAGTACCACCAACACATCACACCGCCCCCAGTTACAAGGTGGGGATTTTGATCCCTTCCTTGAACTGCTTTGCTTGTCCTGCCACCTCCCCAGCACAGACAGCAGGGCACACACTGGAAGAAAACACTGTACGCAGCTGGAACTCAACACATAAAACAGCTATTTGCATGGAAATGACTGCATGCTCATACTGTGCCCAGGGTTTCATGTGCTAAGGAGGAAAGTATGGGACAGACCACTCTACCTTAGCATGAGGAAAGCCAGAAGCAGAAGCAACACCCACAGAGTGACTTAAAAGCACACATCATGATGGAGCCTAAGACATTTCTTTCTGCATAGTTCACCTTTAAAATGACTGCACTACGGATCCCCAGGGTGCTTTTGTGCTTCAGCGGTGCTGACTGCTAGATTTTGCTGTGAAAATTCAAGTCTCCTGCTCTGAGGTGTAGCAACCGATGCCTGCCTCCCAGGCTCAGAGAAGCTCCCAGAACAGCTGTGCAAGCCATCTTCAACCAACACAGGATTGTAGTTCACTGCTGCACATTGGAGATATACTCCGCCTGGTTCAAAGGCCTCCATTATGGGATGGGTAAGATGGGAGGAGGCAAGAGCAGACAAGAAAAGCACTGCTAGCAAGTGAAGGAGAGGCAAGCAAAGGCAAATCCAAGTGAACGGCTGAAGGGAAGAACTCAAAGGCAAAACATTATCTCCCCAGGTAAAGGAGACAGCAACTTTCAGTACACTGCTTCAGGCATAGTACCTACACTCAGTTACCAAAACATGTGAGGTGATGGACTGTGGCTATGCACACCTTCTGTCTGTCAATGAAGGCGAGTTCTTCCCTCATTGCCTGCACATTTCAGCATGTTTGAAGGATTCTGCTCAGTGCCAGCTCCAAGGATACAAGTAAATTTCTGGAAATTTCTCTGCCCTGCTACAACAGAGGAGGAACAAAAGGATCCAAAAACTGCTAAAAGTTCAGCAGCTACAGGTTACAGAAGGCAAGGGCTGCATGCCAGATGCCAGTGCAGACTATGGGTCAGCCATCTCTTGTCTCATTAAAAAAAGGCCTTTCTATAACTGATGAAGACAACCTGCCAGTGAGAGCTAATAACCACCTCTGCAGGCCCACCAGGTACTGAGCTTGAAGGCAAGAATAATGGTGAAAAGTAAAGACAAGCTAACAGTTCCAGTCCAGTTCCAGCAGTTCCAAGCCAGCACTACCAGTGCCTAACAGCAACTTGTCATGTCCAGTTAATTTACCTTGCAGGCAGAGATGACGCACTAGATTGTCAGATACAGAAAGAAAGAGCACTGTGCAGACTGAGCACCCAAATGTCTCTCTTGCTGTGTTCACGATGGCAACTCAACTGATGCTTTTCAATAATCACGAGACGCATATTTTCAGCTGTGCACAGGAGAAAGGAAACTGGCAAAAAATGAATCCCAGAGAAAAGGGGGCTTGTGTGTGGGTACTTCATCTCCAAGTCAGTATTTGTGCAATTAGCTCCGGAAAGGCCATGAAAATACCTTCTGTAGCACCAAGGGAGTTTGTCTGACCCACTCTGCTGTCTATAAAAGAGGCCGCTACGCCTGAAGGGAACCTGAAGGTAACAACAGATCTGCTTTTCATTTGCCTTCCTAGCTGTATACCCCACTTAAGACTAGATTTGCACAGGAATGCCAATTTTGGCTTTTCTGGACTACCTAGCTACAGCAAAGGCCATTACTTCCAATAAAGGTGGTGGGAGCTATAATCTCTTTTAACTTGGATATGTATTACGATATGCTTCCCTGTTAAAAAAATCCAAAACATGGCCTGAAAGGACCCAGCATGACAGGCAGATCAGGCCGGTAGCTGGGAGGAGGTAAGGCATGAAAGCAATTCATCATAGGCATCTCAGCTGCAAGCATTAGTTCTTCCTTGGATTTCAGTAGCAGGGAAGAATGCAGTTATTTTTACTATTAAAAATACTATTTAATAGTAAAATACCTTTACTATTAAATTTACTAACTATTTAACAAAACAAGATTTCTACTTTTTTATTATTATTTTCTACTCCCCCATATTGAAGGTACACTATTAAATAAGCAATTTTGGTCAATTAGAAATAAGAAATGTATTTTAAAGAGATGCATGGGTTTCAGTTCCAGGGCAAAACCTTAGGTCTCTTGACATTTTTTTCCCCTTTTGTTTTGAATAATGCATACATTGTACAACAACAGATAGACTGTTCTGAAAAAAGAATCTAACAGTTTGACAACTTAAGAAGAAATCATGCAGTGGTGCATGGCTGGAAGTATCTGGAGCTAGAATAATTGTGTCCTTGTATTAGCAGGCAAAGATTCAGTCACAGCTTCAGAAACCCCAGCATCAAACTCATTTAAAATGGCTCCGTCTATCCAACTCCAGAAGAATTTGAAGTGAATTAATTAGCTTGCTTTCACATTGAGAGCTTACCTTTCCTTTGCAGATCTGCATCAGGCTGATCGCATTTGAAATTGTGTATCTTCTCATTGTGGAGTCTTTGATGGCAGGCGTATAGAGAAGTTCAAAGTAAATGCCTCGATCTATTGCCTTCACATGAAAGCGAGTGATCAAAAATCAAAAGCAGAGAAGCATAACAATCTTAACAACTGCTGTCTATTATTGATATTGCTTATTCTCACTTCAACTGTACTCCATACGAAAAAAGTTAAGATGGAATTGTTCCAGCAAGAGCACAGCATAGCATAGCATGCAAGGAGCAGGCAGCAAGGTTTCACTGTACACCAGATATGTGTACTTGAATCTTGGGATGACAGATAAATGAGGTTTAACAAACAAAGAAATACTAGCCATTTATCAGTTGTAACTGGCTTTCCACTTTCATAGAGTTGAGGAGAAAGTTAGCTACTTCTGGTCAGAAACAAGTCTTGAAATTTTGACAACTCTCCTCTAGCCACACAGCCTGCTGTTAGGAAAACCACTGGTTCCAACAGTACCCATGACTTGCAGGTGAGGAACTTGTCCTTGCATAAAAGCAGCAATACTGATTATTTGTGACAATGTTAAGTAACAGTGAGTCACAGGAGAAGTTTGAAATAGTAATACTGATTATATTTTCAACTGCTTTAAAATGTTTTGCTATCTGTTAAAGTACCCCACCAAAAACCCAGTATTCCTGTTTTTGCAAACACACAGGGAAAGGTTTATCAACTTGTTACAGGACATAGTGAATTAGCAATAAAGACACAATTTAAAGCTAGTTCTTTGTTCCATGGCCTAAACTACATTTGCCTGAAATTTTACTCTATGCATTATACTCATGTTATCAAGAAATGCTGCAATGCTAGTATAAAAGAATCCAGTAACTGAATACAGACGGAATTAATCCAGCTCCTACCCAGGCATGACGTCTGCATGCAAGCACAACAGAAGCTATGTACACGTGAAATGTTTTAAACAGAACTAGTCCAACATCTGCAAACAAGAAGAGAAGCCTGAATTTATCAAAACCAAAACAGGTGATGGCAATACACCAATTTCCAGTCAAGCAGATTTTTAACCTCATCCCCACCGCTTCAGCTGCCTGCCAATCTGTCTGTCTGGCACCACAACAACCAAAACTGACTGCCCCAGGATGCACAAAACCAGCCTGACAGACAGACTGCCTTGAAGCTGGGAATGTGGAAGATGAGAACTAGCTTGTAAGAAAAATGTCTCCTAACACAGGGCTCCAAGAGCTACCCTTGGTCTTGCTGGAGCCAGGTCAGCTGCTGGAGTTTTAGCCAGCTAGGTTACTTTCAAACAACATTTCATATAAAATTGTTATTTCAAGTGGAATGTTAAAATTCCCAGCTTATAGTAAATTCCAAAGTATACTTTTGCTGTTTCAGAATAATTTCTAGTTAATTTTTGATTTTAATTCTTGAACAAACTTTCTGTAGAAAAGGAAGTAGGGTTTCTAGCCAACTCCAAATTTGTACTTTTTTTCAGCACAAAGGACTACACCAGCCAAGAATGCCCACATGGAATGAACCCTGACATATACTCAGAGGCAGAAACTAGTTCACTGAAGGGCATGTTTGGATTAAGCTTTCTGGCAAACCACCAACAGTAGGCAAAACTGTATTACCAAAACATTTGATCCATGCTGATAGTCTTCTAGTGTCCCACAGCAGATATTTACCAATTCCACATGTGGCTCATCTGCCAAGACATTTTTTTTGTCTAAATATGGATGCAATATAGTTTTCTTCCAAATAACTGCACAAGATCCCTGTCCCAAATTAATACTGTCATTCACATTCTCCTATCTTTTAAATCACAGGGCTATTTATCTATTCTGACACAACTGTACCACTCCTGGTATGGGAAGCAGCTCAGTCAGCAATCACACCACATCTCACTGCTTCGCATACTAGTGGCCTTAAGGCTCTGTTTCCACTCCTTGGGAAGACCACTTCTGCCTTCTCAAGTGGGGAACAGGGAGGAGAAAAAGAAATAACATATATCAGTGTGTATTAAATGCTGCAGCGGAGGCCTTGAAGTGAAGGACATCTGAAACAACACTATACATTATGGAAGAAAATAAAAGAACCATGTGGATGGGAATGGTGGGAGGAAAATGGTAGGGAATTAGACTGACATTAAATACAGAATTTAACAGCAAGAAAATAATTTAGATATAAATTTACCATATTCACAGGGGGCCTTCGGAAGTAGAATGGCAGTTTTTCTGTTACATTTATGCATACCAGATCCACGTCTAGAGTTGTGCAAGCGATCTACAGCAAAGAAATAGGAACATATTTTTAGATATGCCAAAAAACCACATAACCAACTTTAGATGCACTAGTATTCTCCTTCATCTCTTAATGCAATAAATGTCTCTCCAGGATGAGTTCAGTTTTAAAGTGAAGAGGTACTCTGTCTAGCACGTTTGCCAATAAAACAGCAAGGCTACAGGTGCAAAGCTTGAGCATTTTGGGCTTAAAACCCAAGCCTTCTTTCACAGAACTACTTTTCCAGTAATATAATGACCAACCCAAAGGCAAGACTTAAAGCTTTTTCTTTGACTAGGACATGCAATGTTGGTTTTTGGCAAAAGAACTCATAGCTAATGAAGGAAAACCCCTATTTGCAAAGGGAACAGCCCACGCACTGCCTCTTACCCCATCACTCTCTAAATCCAGTGCAGTAACTGTTTGTTTTCGGGACTGTTTTTACCACAAGCAGCCAAGAAAAGACTGAAAGAAAAGCAGAATTGGTGTGCTCCATGCCCAGTTCTGGGCCCCACTTTCCTGGCTGGGTGGGTAACATACAGCTCTTCCTGACGCTGGAGGAGTCTGAAGATGGCATCAAGTGTTATAGTTTCAAAGCTTAGCTTTGAACTCACCACTGTATTAAAAGATAGAAGGAGCAAAGAGAAACGTGGAGAAGAGAATCTCCACACTGACATACAGAGAAAATTAAATACACATAAAAGTGAGCGCGTGATTTACATATAACCTCATGCACAGAAGATATGTAGGATATGTAGACATATGCCTACACCATCAAGACAATTACACAAGGCCAGATTAATGTCTGCAAGCAGCATTGTAACAAAGAAGATAAAAAAGGCTGAAGAAGTTGAAAAGGAATTTTAATGCACAGGGGAGCTGTGCATCCAGAAACCTGCCAGCAACTGTTCCAAATACACCTGAGCCAGGTGCCAGCCATTCATCCCTCCTTGCACCAGCACAAAAGCAAGAGGGGTTGTGGGGAGTTCCAGGGATGGGCTGCTCTAACGCAAGGCAAGCTGTTGCTTTGCAGACTAGTCTTCTACCGGTTTGTTCACATGAACTTTGGATGGGGATGAGAGCAAATGCCCAGCTTTAGGAATGCTTCTTAGCTGATACCACTCCTCTTAGACAGAAGGGCCGCAGCATATGTGCAGGCAATTCAAAGATCCAGAAAACCACAAGGTTTTTTATGTTAAAGTGTCTCTACCCTTCAGACTAAAATTTATCTTCATGCCCTACCTTTACCAACTCTGTTAGACAGAACACAGTTGGAATCTATTCCATTGAATTAGACTTGCATGCGTAAGTTTAGCACTACTACAGCCAGTTTTACTCCTTTTCTTATGTGGAATACAAACTACTATCTAGACAGGGGTAATTCATGGGAAAATGCACAGAGGAAACAGCTCTGAATCACGTCTTACAAAACATGTCAGTAAGGCCATAGGAAATTTACAAAGAGAGAAAGCTGAAAATGAAGGAAAGCAAGAATACACATCAAAATATACAAGTTGCCCTATGTGATGAGAAAACAAGTGCTCCTAATCAGCTCCAGAAACACTGGAAAACTCATTTCCATTTTGCAAATTAAGCACAGTGGGAAAGGGAGGAACCCAAATGCCAGGATATCTACACGACTCCAGTGACAGGAACATTTCAGAAACCACCACCAAGAAAAAACAAAATTAAGAGTCATATTTCCCATAAGGAGGAATTCCTTCATTGCATGGAAAATTTGAGAGGAGATTTCTCCAAACACTCCAATGTTCAGCCTAGCTTTGGATCCTGGACAAGTCACACACACAGGCACGTTAAGGCTACCCTGCCTGCTGAAAGGATCTGAAGTGCAAAACCTCATAGAAAACTTCACAGAAAATGATTCGAAGCAGTCGCACAGCCCAGCGCCTGCCGGGCCACACCGTAAGCAAGAGCCCCATCTGCTGGGAGACTCCAGACAGCCAGGAATAAACAAATTCGCCACTGCTTGGATGGCCTGAAGAAAGTTTGGGCAAATGTTTTAGGAATAAACACTGAAATTTGGCTTTGCACTACATCCTCAGAGTTGTATGTGCAGGCTTTTTAGATACGGGTGACTTGCTAATTGCTTACAAACAGCAGGCAGAACTAATATTAAAACAGTCAGAAATCTTAAAAAGCAGAATTTTTGAAAAGCAACAGGCACAGACCTCATTACTAGCAAGGAGTGGGCATTCCTGTTGCAGCCCAAAACAATCCTCATGGGAGACTTAAAGGAACATGTTCTACAATTATCTTGGCAAACATAGCTTACTCATACCCCTGAGGATACAAATTATTTGGAGAATTCGAGCACATCTTTCAGTACAAATCAATCACACTGTTGCCAGAGATGGCAAGAAAGAGGTGAAGAGTGGCCTTCAAAAGTATTTTACAACTATTCACCTCCCTCACATCCCCAAGAGTCCTAAAATCTTACAAGGGAAATAAAAGCAGTCAGAAATTAGTTTCATTAAGCTGTTAACTATTATAATTAATGCTCAAATTCTCCTACTGAAAGATGATTTAAAGTTCACTTTATTCTACAGCCTCTTGCTTTGAACTTTATTTTTCAAAAAGTAGGGGAAACAGAAGAATGGAATTTTAATGTGTCAAAGCAGGTACTCAGCAGTACTAGAAAGTAACTTTAACCGACTTTGAAAACACTACCAACAGACTCAGTTTTATACTGACAAGATCTCCTTGAAGGTAAATTTTGCAAAGAGATTCATGTTTCTTTCGGTGTTCCTGTGTCTTCATCATGCTGCTTTAAACTGTATGCCTGCTTGCTGTGTGCCAAGGCTAGCAGAGACAGGATGTTTCCACTTACTCTTCCAGTTCAAAGTTAACGTTATTGTTGCTGAGCTTGCAATAGGTCAGATGTCAGAGTTTGGGGTCTTGTAAGAAAAGCATTCTGACAAAAAGATAACTTGCTTCCAGATGCTCGAGTTGATCAGACCACTCACATCAGCTGTTAGCAAGTATCTGAGAGAAATTTAGTTTAAAATATAAGACACATGGAGATAATGCACACCTATCATCCAACAAGCCAAACTGAGGTCATTCTGCCCTAGATAGTGGAATTTTATATTGGAATTTATATATTGGAGTTTTGTATACTGTTGATACAGCAACACCTTCAACAGCTCAGAAATTTTGTGGAAGCAGTTTTCAGTTGCAAGTCTGTGCTGAACAGCCAGGATAAATCTGAGTGAGAAAATGACCATCTGCCCTTCAAGTATTTCCCCTGAGGCCGCTCTACTTTCATACAGCCTCAATGGTTTTCCCAGTAGGCAAAGTAACAAACACATCATGAAGTGACAGTGGTGAAGCTTCAACCTGATAATCCAAAACACTCAAAATAAAACCAGAAATCTCAGTCTAGCAATGGAGTAAGGGCCATTATGTTCAACTGGGCATGTTTACATTTGGAAATTTTATCTGTTCTTAAGATGCTGTGACAGCTGGAACTAACTCCGTCTCATAAGCTCTTGCTCCTCTTTTGATTTAAAATAACAACAAAAAAAGGAAAATCTAAAGAAAAAAAGATCAGCTATTCATTTGGACAAACTTCCAAGCGAAGTCCTAAGGCTAAAAGGAAGAAGCCAACTCTCACAACCACACTAATTCCACTTTAAAATCCTTCCACTTTCCCTGGCATTTCAGAGACCAGAAGACAGCAAACGCATAGAGTTTGAAAAGTTAAAGTTCAAAACTGAAGTTTTCTACATGCTGATAGTATGTGTGTGTGCGGATATATATAAGAAAAAAGACATTTTTCCTCCTCACTAGAGAAAAGTACTCAATAGAGTACAAGGCACACAGACGAAACCACAGTGCAGGGGCATACAAGTCCATTCATTAGGTAAATATTTCAGACTGTAACCAGTCACCTCAAAGCTTTGCAGCCTCCTGCAATCCCTCCTAACTTTCTCAGTTTATCAACTGACCAGGCAGCCCGTGTTGCTTAATTAGCTCTATGACACGCAGACCTGTATAAAATGGCAAATAAAATCAAAACAAAGCATGTACTCAAACGAGCCCAGGCACTAAGAGTTACCCAGTGAGCATTGCCAATCAGATGACTTTACTTACATGGAACAGTTTCTCAGTCTTCGGAAATACTGCTATGATGTCATATAACCTTATATTTGGAGATGTTGATCTCTACAAAAGGTCAGAACAATTACTATCTTGAATTCTGGCAGATGCCAAAGCTATGCACAATGATTATTACCAAAATAATGAGAAAAAAAAAAATCCCCTTTTCACTTTCACTACTAAAACAAAGCAAATAATCATCCAGTTACATAGTAAATCTCTGATGTGAGACATGACATACTGTGAAGTCATTCATTCTCATTTTGAGGCTTATCCCACACACCTGGTAAGGCACTTACACTTTTTGCTTTGATCATGTAGCACTAAAACAAAAAAAGACACAGGGCTTCCTCACAGCCTTCTAGTTTACATACAGAAGTCCAGAAATGAAAGAAAAAAAGAGTAACAGAACTGTTGTCCCACACTGACAAATGATCAATAGAAGCCATATCCAGTCTTGTAAGCCTGCATCTCTTCATGATCATGTTATTTGCTGAAAATGTCATATAAGAAACCAATGCTGAGTGTCCTACAAAATCCACAAAGTTTTCCCCATACAATTTCAAAAGTTTCATTCATTCATTGATAAAAGGAAATAAAAATTGGAAAATTGATGTACTAAACATACTTACCAAGAGATTACAGTGGGAAGGATCAGAAATAACAAGCGTTAGCCGGGTTAAAACTTTAATTCTTTTAGATGTCCCCTATAAAATAGGAATAATACAAAAGACTTTAAAAAGTTTCAAAGCAAAAATATGTGATGACTTTGACCACTATAAAAGAAAATGGTGCCTTGTTCATATTCTTTTCTATGTTAATTTTCTGAAAGTCTGAAGTTACACTTTCCAATTTTAAATTGATCTGTTTGATACTATACATGCCCTTCATAAAGAAGGGCTTACTCTGTTTTTCTGAAGAAGGGTGGAAGGACAGAAGGCATAAAATCATGCAGAAAACCTGAGTATGTTTTAATACTGCTATGGTTCCACAGGCAGGCCACAGCTGTGTGCAAATTCCTGAATTAACATACATAAGCAATCTGAAATAGAGACTCGGTTTATTATATCCAAATGATGCTCCACCAAAGCCAGGAAGTGATTGTCAAAACTCAGTTTTCAAGAATTACAGTGTAATTATTCAGCTACAAGAAGGTTCAAAATTCACACAAAGCAATTGTTAAAATAATGTTAAATATAATGAATAGCACCTACTCTAACACTAGTGTATTGTTCTTCTAATGCTGGGAGTTTTAACAATCAACCAATGGACAAATTTATCTTTTCTGCTTAACATGCAATACAGAAAATCACATATACAAACACACCAAAGTAAAAAACGTAACCCAGAATGACAATACATAGATAGAATGTAACTAGACATACTTGCACAACAGGCAAAGATGGAAACAACTCTGAAGGAGATACTGGCTTGACAATTTCCTTAAAAGAGAACAAAAAGTTACTCAAAATGTCAGGAGTTAAGTTTACAGTATAAACAAAAGCTGTGTTCCAATCCTAAAAAGAAATTTGCAGTGCTAACAAAACTGTATCCCAGGGACAATACATGGACCATATTAAAAGTTAACTCCAGGGCAACTATACTAAAATAGGAGTTCTGTCATAAATTCAGACATTTGTACTTGCACCTAGATGTGCATTCTGCAGATAAGGCTACCTGGGAACATGCAGCGAGGCATGTAGGTTTACAAGAGAAAACACACTTAAAACAATCCCAACAAAAATTACCTGTTTCTTTTCTTTAAAATCAATGACATGATTGAGAGCAACCGCAGAATATCCCACTGAAAAAGTAAACACAGTAAACTAATGGAAACAAACCAACCTGTGTTAAACACTCATTACTTCAATGTCTCAGAATTAATAATCACATGCATATTTGCCTTTCACATTATTTCTCTCTGAAGATTAATTCTCCCCAAAAGTGCCTTAAAAAATTATTTGCCTTTTAATACGTTCCAGTCCTGACAACACTTACTGAATGGCAGAGCTTTATGAACATGAATACTTAGGAATAAGGTTCCCAAAGACTCTGCGCTAGTTTGGTCCTGTTGATATCTTTCTTTAGGGAAAATGGTTAAGGACATTCAAGGCAGTTGTTAAAGCTACAGACAGTGCAGAGCTGGGAGAAATACAGCTACAGCAGAAGGAAGGCAAGGTGAGCATTCGAAGTGATGCTGAACAAAACTGACTGAATAGATCTCATTCGGCAGGGATCAGGGGAGAAAGTCAAACTGCCCCACAGACGCTTGGCAGGCGGAATGTGGCTGTACAGCAGTTTGCAGAGAAAGAAGACTTGGGCCATAATAAACTGCAGGGGGAAGGATGTGTCCACGCGGGTAAGAAAACCAAGTTACACTGGGATAAAGGCAGAGACAGACCCTGCAAGGCTCTCCTCGCTACACGGAAACTACACGGCTTTTCTCGCTACTCGGCATTGGGAAGACCTCAGTCCTGGTCACTTCACTTGCAGAAAACCACAAGTTGAGGGGGAGAGCGGAGAGGAGCGAGGGGAAACGCCGCCCGCCGGGGAAGCAGGAGACCAGATGTAGCCCACGGGGAGGGAGAACTGCCCCCGGAGACTCACACTAGCGTGCCGGAGCTGGCGCTCTCGTCCCGCCGCCCTCCTGGCTGGGCCCAGCTCAGGCCCACCCGGCTCTGAACCGCAGCGCGAGCCAGAGTCCCGCCGCCGCCGCCCTCCCCGCTCCCGCCGTGCCCGGGCAGGGACTTACAGTGTGCTGCGGTCTCCAGCAGACCCTGCAGGGACTTCTTGTCCGACCCCTGCGGGAGGTTCAAGTCGGCGAAGCCAACCATGCTGAGCGCTGTGCTCAGATGGGCCGCGACTCTCGGCACCGCCCCCAGCGGCCCGCGGCAGTCTGGGGCTTGTAGGCCCGGCCCTGCCCTGAGCGGGCAGGAAGCTCCGAGCTACCGGCGGCAGAGCCGCAGTTTGTCCGGCGGTGTTCGCTGGCTGTGGTCGCAAAACCGGAGCAGCAAAGGGAGAGGATGTTTCACGTCTTCGCTGTACTCTTCGATCGGAGGTGCTCTACCAAAGGGCCGCCATAACGCAGGGGAAAGCCCGTGTGGGGAATGTGTCAGATCCCAGGCGGAGTGCTGAAAATCAAACCTGGCTCTGAGGAACACCACGCTTGGCTCCGAAGGGGATGGGATCTGGCTCTTGTCCCTCCACACAGCCAAGCAGAGCAGGCCGAGGCACACCGCTCTCCTCGTCCCCACCAGGTGGAGCAGTTACCTCGCTCGACTGACGTGTTACTAGTTAAACTCGTTGAGCTCCATCTCAACACTGCCAGTAATAAAATCCGAATCATCTCTAGCTATTGAATGGTCTTCTCTTTCCTGTGTTAGCTAAAAAAAAAATTTGAATTAAAGCCCCAAGCTCCCATGTCAAGAGATACCCCCTAAACGGCAAAAGGATTGAGGAATTGTGGTATGCTAGTAACCAAATTCACTGTGTAGCACTGTTAAAAAAGTACAAATATCTCTTTCTACCATTGATTAATAGCACAGAATATGTAAAATACAGGTGGTAATTACCACTAGGGGTTTTTTGTTCAGCAGCAGTTGCAGACAGCAGGTCTGCCAATTCCTATCCAACTCCAGGGCCTCAGCTGGGCTGGGGATCCTCAAATTTCTCTTTCTTCAAAATGGTCTAAATGTTCACGAAGGGAAATCTGTGCCCTCTGGAGCTCCAAACTCTTACTGAGGCAAAACTGCTTCTAACCAAGGCCAAGGCATCAATGCTGCCAACTCCCTGTTGTTGGTACGTCCCTGCTTACAGGATCTGTCCGTGCAGCTTCTGCCAGCTGTGCCTGGGGACTTATGGTTCATTTCTACCAGAGATCCTGTGGTTTGTAATGGATGACCAAGGAACAATAGTGCCTTCTGGGCGTGTTTCTAGCCTTGCTGTCTGATGAGTTACAAAGACCTGGGATGGTGGTAACAGAGAAGCTACTTCTGGGCTGCAGAGACTGGACTAGGAGCTCAGGGTCCTTTGTTCTTGCCACATCTATGGCAACATTTTGTTCTTGACAATATTGGGTCAAGATATTTCAGGAAAGGAGCTCTGGTTTGGCCTATCTGCATCTGGAAGGGGCAGATCAGTCAGCACTTGTAAGCGGCGAGGAGAAGCAGACATGCCAACCCAATATGGGTGATAAGCAACTTCTAGTTTATTTGTGACGCAGTTCACACATATATAGGAGTGGTATTCAGCCACTCCTTCTTGGCATAACAGTATTGGTTAGCCCCCACAGCTTCCTCCACATTCTCCTCCCAGGTCCGGTCTCCGGCCACCTGTGGGGGCCACCCCCTGCCTTGCTTGCACAGTCCTCCAGAACTCTATGGTTCTGCTCTTAGAGTCATTCTGCAACAAGCACTGCTTCTCTGCTTCAAACAATCAGCATATCCTGACTGGTATTGTCAAGCTTTTCTTTGATGTGGGTGAAAATGGAAGAGCTCAAGATACAATTCCAGGTTTTCTTTGGCTGAGCATATGATGGAACATAATTTGTCTTAATGAATGTAAGAAGCAGACCATAAACATGCATCAGTTATTTTTGAATGGCCATGGTGCAGCAGCGGTCAGAGTCATCGAACAGGATTAAGCAGCTTTTATGTCTGGCAATATACAAGCAAAACAAACCTTTCCTCAAGGCACTTAAAATGGAGAACATGTAAACAGATCTTCATGCAGAACATCTGCACAACCCTGTTTGCTGTAATGGTGTAAGAATCTGAGTATGAAGCACTTTCGCCATCAGGTATCATGAATCATGTATTCAGACCAGTGTACAATCTTATATCCTGCATGAATAATTCAAATCTTACTACTTTTGTTCAGGCCAGCCCCACTGACCTACTTAAAATATCTGTGGTCCTCACTGTTAAGCCACAAGCTTCTACTGTGATTTGTTTCATCAGTATGCTGAAGATCTCATGATGGAGCCAGATCTCCTCTGTCCAGGTGTTTTCTTTCTCAATATACATAGACCTCAAGTCAATTCTTTCAGAAATTTGCATGCAGGAATCCTACCAATAGGGCAGCCCCTGGTAGCAACTCTTAGATTTTGTTTTGCTTTAGTATTGCATTTAACACTTTTAGGGAGCTAATGTCTTATTTGATACTGTCTGTCTCAGTAACGTAAATGTCACGGTCACTTTTATCATAACCTCCCTTGTAAAGGTGCAGACTGAATTTTCAGGGCTCTGTTTTTCTGAGCAATACATATTTTTTAGCATAAATTTCACTTTGTTTGTTTTCTTTTCATATGACAGCTTGCTGTTGTTTGTATTTGCTAGTTCCAAAAAGAGAAGACATGATTTCACATTTAAGTTGCACAGATGCAAGTATTTATTTTGACGATGATAAGAAATGCCAAAGATGAGAACGGTTACCTCTCAGCTTTACTGCTACACACTGGTGATGATTTATTTTCACAAAGATTAGAAAAGACAGAAAAGAAAACTGCAGCTGCAACATCTTTGCTAGAAGTTGGACAAGAGTGTTATTTGCTGAACAGTACATGCTGGGAATAAAAATCGAGGTTTCACTAATATTTGTCCACGGAATTCTAACCAGCCTCTGATAAATATTCTAAACATTTTGACAACGTATTTCCCCAAGGCAAAAGAAGCATATACCTATACTTTATTTATTGTCCCCAACAGCAGGTCCTCACCAGTCTTATATTTGTTTCCAGGAAAAGAAAACAGAAGGAAAAAAAAAAATTACCTCAGGCAAATGAAAACAACAGTTTATGAAGACAGATTGGTGCACGCAAGAAAGGACAAAAATGGGTATGACAAAAAAGGAAAAAGAGCAAGAAAAAATATCTATTTATTTATTACCTTGTATACTCCTGTTGTGTCACTTTCCTGCCATGCATCCAAAGCAGAATTGTTTAAGAAGTGGAGTGTAGCAGTGCCTTTAAGCTCTTATGCTAAGGTGTTTTCTAGAGGTGGCTGTGTGGGGGAAAGAGTTACCATGCCGGACTGTCAATGCTTTCTCCTTCACTGGTGAAGTTCCTGTGCTGCACTCCTTGACCCATTTCAGTCAGTGTTCCAAGTTAGTGAAGACCTGCTGTGTCAACAGACTCTGCAAGCATTAAGTCCTCTGGAGAGGGAGGAAGGATTTAGGGTTGAGTGCAAGTTCTTTCAACACAGACACTTTAATAGATACACTCTGGCCTCAGTAAGTCAACATGTGCTGGGGCCTTATTTCTTAGCTAGCTCTGATGATGTCTATCTTACCTTACATCACTAACACAGGAACAAAGAATTGATACCAATACCCTCTGTTATAATCTACTCTAAGTATGAATCACAAATGCATAAGATACGTGACTAACATTATTTCTGGAGGAGGGGAAAAAATTTTTAAAAGTTAATTGTTTTTTGAGAGGAAAATTAGAAGAAAATGTTTCCCTTCCCTTGCTTTTTTTTTTTTTTTAATCTCGAACACTTTTTATAACAAAAATGAAATATCAAAGAAGAGATTTGCAAATAAAGTACATTATCAGGTGTGAAAAAAAATAGCTTAACTTCAACAAGTGCATGAAGAAGGATGAACAAGGGCTTTAGCACGGAGTCAGAGGTATACAGAAATATGAAGAGAGCCTAAATTACTCAAAGGACAGGATGTTACTAAACCCAGAGAGAAAACTGATTTGATATTTATTGAAGCCTAATGGAAGGTCAAAAAGTAATATCTTGGGGAATTAAGGCAGAACAAGTGTCAGCTTGTTATTCTTGCCACCCAGTCATTCTGTGTGTTTCATTTTTGTATGCTGTCTGGAACAGCATATTAGAATTTGTAAATAGGGTCACTGAGGACAAAAGCAGGATCTAAACTTGGAAGAATCAACTCCTACCTTCATGTAGCATTATTTTAAATCCATAGAATAGATGTAGCACCATGGAGTGATGGACGCTCTCTGCTTTCCCAGACACTGGGGATGTGGAAGCCTCTAAAACCCTCAAGGAAAGCCCCTCACCAGATGCAGCCCAGTCCTGGAAACTGGCATATTATTCTAGATGTGTCCTACTGAAAAGCTTTCAAGGAAAAAAAATTAAAGAGGTATCAGCTACTTCATCTTGCCAAGGCTCCATGTTTTCTCTGCAATAGTAAGCAAACCCCTTCCTATAACAGCAAGCAAATTGACTTAAATTGGCTTGTCTCTTCAAAGATAAAATTATGAGAGTAAATACAAAAAATAGGAACATATGACCTTTGAGAAGGAAAGAAATCAGCTACATTCAACGAACTGCATGGGAATTTAAAGCACAGAACAAAATATGAGGCTAAAATAGTCCTTTCAAGTTGGAATGGGTAAGAGTAACATGCAAATGATCCTGTACATCATCCACTGAGTACACTTAGAGAGTCACGTTCCAGGAGTATATTGAAAAGCTGTCAAGAAGAATGACTGACTTAATGAATTGTGTCAACACATTTGCAGGAAGCACCGGCTTATAATTTGCTCTGCCTTAGTGACATTTTAAGTAACTGAAAAATTGCTTTTACAGTGAGTATTAAACTGTACAATGTTATCAGCTTTTATGATACAAAGCTATTTTGAACAAAATTTACCCGCTCCCTATCTCCTTAGCTGTACTTCAGACACTATTTTTAAAAAACTTATTCACACAAGGAAATATTCTCCTTTCTCCACATTTTGCCTGAATCCTTTAACTTGTTTTGATGTACGCTTTCACTTCTAAAGATCATTTTCTTTCTAATATTTGCTTGTCTGAGGAGGAGGGACAAAGGACTTGCTTTATCACTTTGGAGGGGTAAGTCACTTGAAGCTCAAGGCTCATGAACATATTCTGGGTGGTTAAATAAAATCATAGAATAGTTAGGGTTGGAAAGGACCTTAAGATCATCTAGTTCCAACCTCCCTGCCATGGGCAGGGACACCTCACACTAGACCATCTCACCCACGGCTCTGTCCAACCTCACCTTGAATGCTGCCAGGGATGGAGCATTCACCACTTCTTTAGGCAACCTGTTCCAGTGCCTCACCACCCTCACAGTAAAGAACTTCTTCCTTATATCTAACCTGAACTTCCTCTGCTTAAGTTTGATCTCATTCCCCCTTGTCCTATTGCTATAGGGAATAGACATAGGGAGGCAGCTAACGAAGTGTAGGAAAATATGTGACTGAATAGGAAAACACTTTCAGCTTGATAATGGTCAAAGAACTGCCCAACTAGATTTCATCCTTACCATGTGAGACTTGCCTATTTTATTTTCTCAGCTGAATCAAAAAAGGAAAAGGGAAAGCAAGCAACTGAACTCCCAAACTCTGCTCACTGCCTGCTGTGTTTCTGACCACCAAAGACGCTGCCTGTGCTCAGATTTTATGTCACACCTGCCCCAACCCCTCAAGTCCCGTGTGTGCTGATGGGTGAGCTGAGCCAATGCAGAGTCACATACGATGGAAAGCCTGCTTTCAAGAACAAGTGATGCCAACAGAATGGAAGATTTCATTAAAACCAAGACATTCCATGAGCCAAGGTATGGAAGCCCCAGTTGCTATGGATTTATGTTTCAGTAGTGCCTATGAGTGTTAGATGATTTTTTTCCCAGATATCTGGGTACTTGTTAGGTCTTTTTTCAAAGCAGATTTTAAAGTCTGTGTGATGTGAGCTCATACTGCAGCCTCTCTTACTGCTGGGCCATGAACACAGTGCTTCCCTCTGTCTGGCGCACACTTGAACAAAACTTGCCATCATGATGTTGCCTGCAAGACCTCCTCTCATTCAGACATCAGTGACATTGGTCAATGGATACTGATCTATCTGGGCTCAACTGTCATTTCCTCTTTCTTTAGCTCATCTGGCTTCTGTCTCTTGCTGGAAATACAAGAGCACTCTCAGAGGCAGGTGTTTCCTGTTTTAAATCCTTACTGTCTAGCATGTTACTACACCAAGAGGTGTGATCTGATGGCACCCTGTGAGTAACTGCCAATTCAAACAGTTTTCACCCCACCTGGAAGCAAAAATATGACTGAAAGAACAGAGAAAGTCAATGAGTGCCAGAAAAGGGCTAGTATCCAGGAGTTCTAGGAACCCGCAGGAAAACCAGGTAATTCAAAGCAATGGGATTTTGTTGTTGTTTTTAACTTTACTGAAAGGATTAGACATGCAACAGTGAATAAATTTAAGATAATGCTATAAAAATATTAATAAAAGAGAAAATATAGGTAATGGGATTCACATTAATTTAGGAGGAAGGAGAATCTGTAAGCTTGAAGATACAAAGTACTTCAGAGAGGACATGTTATTGGGTTTAGATCTTACAAGAGCAGCCACTGTTAACTCTCCAGGCAGCAGCCAGGCTTCTGCCGGACCCGACTGTCTCCCAGCGCACACATTCCAGTGTCGGGGAGAGAGGCGCTGCTGAAGCTGCACGGGGCAAACACGGCAAGGGGCTCCTACCCGGTTCCACCGGACCCGCTCATCCTGCGGTAGCTTCTCCCCGCCCGCAGCTTCTCGGGTGCCACATATATGTACCTGTGTGTGTGTATACTTATATTTATACACACATACATACATATATATATATACACACACATATTGAGGGGTTCTCGAAGCGTCCCCCGCTTGCGCGGCTGCCGCGGAGGAGAAGCCGGAGGAGAAACCGCCGCCCGCGGCCGCAGCTCGGCGGTGCTGTGGTGAAGAAGCGCACCCCCTTTCCCCCGCTCAGAGCGAGAGGAGGGAGTGGAAGGCGGAGCGGCTCCCACCCTGGTCCCTGCCGCCGTCGGAGGGAAGCACCAGCGGGTGGGAGCGGGTGGGCGGGGAGCGGCCTCAACCTCCCCACCCCGGTCCGCCTCTGCCCCCGCGGGCTGGGGGCGATGGCTTCGTGCCCACCCCCCGGCCGCCAGGGGAACGTCGCGGGCAAGCTCGGCCTCTCCGGGAGAAGTTGAAGGCTGCCCGCACCCCCCCCCGCGGGCCGGGCAGCCGGCTGCGAGGGGGCGGGCGGCGCCTGGTGCCCGAGGAGGAGCCCAAGCATTCCGGGCGGCGGGGAGAACCGGCGAGCGGGCGGCAGGGCTTCATGGGCAGCTCCCGCCAGCATGGTACTCGCCCTCAACGGCAGCCACCTCTACGGTAACCTCCGGCCCTTGGTCCTGGGGGACCCAAGGGCGCTGGGCGGCGGCAGGATGATCGCCGCCGAATCCTGGCCCCCGCGCAGCCTGGCGAAGCTCGGCCCGTCGCCCCCCCCTTCGGCGCTGCCCACTGCGAGCCCCCTCCCCGCCAATGACTCTCAGTGCGGGGAGCAGATCCTCAGCTATGGCAACGTTGAGAAAGTTGTCATCGGGGCCATCCTCTCTCTCATCACCTTGCTGACCATCGCCGGCAACTGCCTGGTGGTCATCTCCGTCTGCTTCGTGAAGAAGCTGAGGCAGCCCTCCAACTATCTCATCGTCTCGCTGGCCTTAGCCGACCTCTCGGTGGCCCTGGCTGTCATGCCCTTCGTAAGCGTGACCGACCTCATCGGCGGCGAGTGGATCTTCGGGCGCCTCTTCTGCAACGTTTTCATCGCCATGGATGTCATGTGCTGCACGGCCTCTATCATGACTCTCTGCGTGATAAGTATCGACAGGTGAGACACCCGGCGGATCGCAGCCCGCCCTGCCCCGCACCCGGAGGGATCGGCACCCGCCGGCCCCCGGGCAGCGAGGATGGGACCTGCCAGGAGCGGTTCCGATAGGGCTCTCGTTTGCCTCCCCCAGGTCCCTTGGAAATTAGTTGCAAACACGTTAAAAGCACGGAGGGAGGCGAGAGCAAGCCTTGCGGACTCTCCTGCTCGAAGGAGCCCGCCGGAGCGATGCGTACTCCCGCGAGCCCAGGTTAACTGGTTATCCCGCTGGGCAACTTCCCTGCCAGGATTAGGGTCAACGCGTCAGAACAAACCTGGAGCTAAACTTTATAGGTTTACTGTGTCTCTGTGCAAATAACGGGGCATTTGTAGTTGCTTTAAAATCTGCAACATGTCTTTAAGCTGCTTTATATCCCAGCTAGATTTGAGCTGGTTCTCCCGAAGCTGGTAACATCATTGAGCTCAGTGGAGTTTTATTATCAGATCAGAGAAGATGCAGAAATTATACCTGTTAGGATTATATCATTATTCTAGGACAATCCCACAATAGCTCCATTTCAACTAACAAAACCATTTTTGACAAATAACGTTTTGTTTGAAGGAAAAATTGCTTTCAAATGTTTGCTTTAAAAAAAAAAAAAAAAAAAATCTGCCCTCTTAAAACCCAAGTGATACTCATTGAAATCTATCTTCTCCTGAAAGATAAAAGCAGTGAAGCAATAAGGAGATGTATACAGACTGCAGAAGAGGATCTTAGACATGTACTTCCGATGTTAAGGTCATACTTAAAATCTCACAATTGTCCATGGCTAACAGATTGCTTTATTCCTGCACGTCCCATTCTAAAGTGAGTTGCAACCTCTAACTTCCCTATTCCACAGCCTAAATCCCATACCAAGAATTTTAGTGTCTAGAGAGAGACTGTTTTCTTTACAACACAACACACTTAGCAGAATGGAAGAACTTCCCAGCTCTTCCTAAACTGTAGAAGTAGTTCAAGTCTGATATCCAACACTACCCTTGTCTACTTCAGAAAGTTTTTTGAAAGAACTCTGTATTAGATTTCTGCAAAGAAAGTCTTTCAAAAGAACTTCCCACAGTAACTGGAGATTGTTTCATGCCAAGGAGGATCATGGTCTATATTAAATTCCAAACTTAAACTTTTATATAAGCATCTCCTGCTGCAGTGCTATTTCATCACTTGTTTAATGGCTAGAAGTTGTCTGAATGCTGCAAAGCATCTCGTAGCAGTGAAATCCACATGCAGACTTAGAATATCAAAGGGTGGTGGGTTTTTATTGTTATTGCTGCCTTGAAATTTGCTGTTTTTAAACTTACCTAGCTTATCTACCTTCCCAATGTTATTCTCTCATTTTCTATCCTACTTATTTTTATGATAGGTGATTTCATTTTTCCACTCTCTCAACATAAAGTGTTCCCCTTCTTTGATCTTGCTGTCCATCTCTGAGCTCTCTACCTCCATCTCTAATAGCCTTTTGAAGACAGGTTAACATAGTTAAGCTTCCTTACCCAAGAAAGAATGTGTCTGATTCACACTGTAGCACTGGGGTAATTTAGTTTTACTCTTTTTTTATTTCTTAGCTTAGCATTTAAGGTCACCACTGTGTGTTGAACAGGGGCTTTGACTGAACTGGTCACAATAATAATTGCATTTCTTGCTGTAATCTTTCCATTCTCTCTTCACTTTCCTCTCCCCCCAAAATACTAACAAAATATATAGTTACGTATTTAGATAAAAATATAACCTATTTTGAATGACTGATTTTTGTCAACAAGTGCTAGTTTAAAACTGAATTATTTTCCTCTTGTCTTTACATTCCTACTTCTATCATGAATGTTTATTGAACATGATCTCTTCATAACTCATTATACTGCTGTCTACTCCCTACTTGAAATCAAAATTCTGTGAATCACGATGCTTTAACCTCTGTTACCCAAATCCATTATATAGTTAAGATAGGTGATGTCATAAATAAAGGAGACAAGCCAGCAATTCATTAGCAAAATGTCTCTACCACATGGCAATAAAAAAAATTTACAGATCTCCATGATTTGTAATCCCATTTAAAAAGAAATAATCTTACACTGCTGTAACACTGCTTAGTCAGGCCAAAGATTAGCTTGGGATGTAACTAATCTTTGAATAGTCAATGCATATCAGATATGTAAACCAGGGAGCAGTGATGAAAATTAAATGTGAATGGTGAAATGTTGCCAGTGTAGCACTGATTTTAATGGTGCTAACTTACTGGCAGTGGTTCTTACACTGATGCAATATGAAAGTCTTCAATGATCAGTGAGGATGATTTATCTCTGGGGGAAGTGGTGTGTGTAGTATAGGAGCTTGCAAATCACAATGTGTGTAGTGCTTTAGAGGAGCATTTCTCCATAGTTTTGATGGTAACACTTGCATGCATACATACGTATTATCTGGGAGGAGATCTCTGATGATACAGCCCTTATTATCTCAGTCCAAGGAGTACCAAACCAAAGTGAATCAGGAACCAGGAAAGCAGGGAAGGAGTGAATGAAATTCACCATACTTCAACCTGGCAGCTATTCTCAGTGCCTTTTGGATACAGTTAGCACAAGACATTTGTTTAGGGAGAAGGGTTAATATAGGGCAAAAAGGAACATTTTTGAAGAATTAGGGATTGCACTGACACCTGACTCTTTAGGACAGTTTAGGAAGCCTTTGTTATGATCCAGTAAAGTTTCTCCTGAAGCGAAAGAGGCTGAGGCTGTTGCAGGCAATGCAGAGACAGCAATTAAGTTGGATATTTAAGAATTTTCATTGTTAACATCTAAGTTCTTCATGAAACAAATATAAGAATCAGTTGAAGGTAAACAGCTGAAAGAATATTGCTATTGAATTAATCTAATTTATTTTTTTAACAAGTTCGTTAACTCTTAGGCAAAGTTTTTACAGAAAGTTAATATATTTTATGAATATACAATATAATATTAGTATTTTTATTAATATGAATACTGCTATTTTTTATTAAACAAGCAAATATAGTTGGTAAAAAAAAAGGCTTTGAGGCCTTTTCAAAAAGGGTAAAATGGGTAAATTGAAGAGGCTTTTTAATTTGTTTCTTTTGCACAAACATGTGCTACTCAGCTCATGCCACAGACAGCCCTGAAATGCCAGCAGCTGACTGGCCTATTGCATGTAGAGGTATTTTGCTATACAGCCCTTGGTTGTAGATGTGTTTTCCAGCTGAATTTATCAGTTAGAAAGCTCTGAAAGATGCAGACTAGCATGGAATCTACAACAGGCTGGTTTCATTCTGTTGAAAAAAATATAAAATAAAGACCTTTTTTTCCTAGCCAGACTCATCAAGCACTTCTCATACTTTTAAAGTCATTTCTACTCTCAGCCTGCATAAAGGCTGCAAAGTAGATGTTAGTATGCTATTGTGGGGATCTCTAACTTTGTAGAGGGTACAGAAGAAAGAAGCCTATTTGAAAAGATCTTTTTATTATCCACAAAGAACTAAATTTATGAAGATCAGGAGATAATGTCCGTAACAATACCAGGATTTGGTCTATTATGCTCTTCTTCAGATCATATCTTTCCTTTTATTTCACAACATAAAATAAATCAGGGTGACCTGAGATGGGCATGTTATTTCTGAGGTATCTTTATCTTATGTAAGCCTCTTCTTTGGAAAAAGGCTATCATCTGCCTACCAGCAGGTCTGTCAGAGCTAAAACAGATGTGATGGAGAAACAAAGTATTTCACCCTTTTCAAATTTTGTAAGGATGTAACAGGCAAGACAGTTTGCTAGTCAGACAATCAATATCACCCTTGCTATGCTCACCACCTATGGTATGAGGTGTGTAGCTCTGGAAAAAAGTAGGAGTTAACAGAGAATTTGGCAGGATAATTGTGCACCAGTGAATAGTAGCCTTCTTTAAGCATTTCTTATTAGTGTATTTGGTTTTTTTTTCTCTCAAGGCTCCACTTTCCTGGTTCTAAATTACATAAATTATACCACATTTAGATTTCTTTACATTTAAGAGTGAGCGAATAACTGGGAATTAATTATGAGGGATGAAGGCAAACCACATCTTAGTGGGTGAGTGAACATATAAAGGGAATTAATTGAATTTAAACTGGCGGTGTTTGCATGCTGATTCATCATGTTCTTCTGACCTAAGATAGCTACAGAAATCCTTTTTGGAGAGTATCCATTGGATAACTGCATAAGTAACAATTTTTAATTCAATTTAAAAATAGCTCTTTGGCTTAGAAAGTGATAAAGTAACATAACTACTCAGATACAGTTGACGAATTATAACACTTCTCCACACCCACACAAGTAATGAAACACTTTTTGGGGAACCTTTCCAGTCTCTACCTTAGCCAACAATTCACAAGTATTCCAGACTTTCATTAAATTGATGAGGGTTTAGAATTTGTATGCAAATGATACCAAAGTATCCTTGTTGATCCTGAGATTTTTATACACGAGGATCAGCTCTCTTTCCCTCCCAGTTTGGTATCTTTTGCTGTACTCTAAGTAAATATGAGTACTTACTTATGCTTCACCTTAGAATATGTTAGTCCCTAAAAGTTCACTCACTCATTTCCAGTGTCCTAGGTGCATGCCTGGGAACTAAGGAGGCCTCAGAGTGCTTAACAGGAAGAACTTGGGGCTAAATTTAAATAAAGACTTAAGCACTTTCAGTAGAACACAGGTGTCTAAATTCTGCCTACCTCTAAAACTGATAATGTGACCTCAAAACCCTGCTAATGATTTCCTAAGCCTAATGACACCTAAGAGCCCTGCATGGCTTCCCATTAGCTGTGAAACTCTTCTGCCTTCAGGCCATGGGTGGAAAAGCCTGCAGTCTGTTCATCCAGCCCTGCTCAAGTTACCTCAGGAGATACAGGTAGGATGCATATGTTGAGACACACATGAAAAAATCATGTATGTGATGCATTTTGGATCTATAAATAAAATGGACACCCACCAGCAATGCCCCCCATGAGATTTTATTCCGTATATAGTTACACAGAAATAACTGAGGAATTGGGAAAAATCTAAAACGAACCATAGGGAAAATGTGTGATGGAGTTACTGCAATTCAGGGCTATATTGCAGAAGAAAGTTTTGGGGTCAATGTGGCAGCTAGTTCCTGATCACCACCAACATCACAAGAGCCATTCTTTCCATTGTTCCTCCCAATAAGCAAATGTACTTTTTCGGAGTCTATAAATAACTTGTCTAACTATGAAAGATACAGACAGCACCGATACACTACAGTGGAAAAAAAGATTTGGCTTTATTCCTTTCCATGTAATTTTTCTAATTTAGTCCATCTAAAGAATATTCCTCAAGTTGTTGTAGTTTCTTTTTGCAGAGAATTTCCTGCCAAACACTTTTGCAATCTCCATTTTATTATTTACATTTAAGAGATACTACATAGATTTTTGCTCCCAAATCCTGAGAGGAAGAAGTTGAATTGGAAGTTGAACACCCAGAAACGCTGGGGTGTTTTGCTGTACTAAAATGATCACACTTCTTTAGGTACCTTTCTGTGGCATCCGCAGGCATCTTCTCCATGTCACACAGGCAGCCTGCAGGATGTGCAGTTACTTACACTGTAACTTGGTACAGACATAGCAAAACAATGCTTCGTGACTAGACTGCCAAATGCGCAGTAAATAAGATGGGAGGTAGCAAATAAAAGATTTTTTATCAAACAGATGGACTATTTTGTGAGGCCTTAACAACTCATGAGTTAAGGGGGCTCCTTTACCATCAAAACAAGCAGTTTTGTCCTTCTGGAGCAGGAACAGACATAAGATCTGAAGTTTGGTGTGTCTCGTGGCTGCTGTAGTGGAGGCTGAGAAAATTTGGGAAGCTAGAAGATGTTCTAGAAAAAATCTGTAGATTGATTATTCTATTGCTGTTACATACTGGATGCTTTCTAGTAGTGTTACTGAAAGGGAGTCACAGGAGATGCAAGATAATCTAGAGGTGGCAGTGAAAAGGTGATTGTGATTGGTAATGTTCCAAGATATGCATGAACGGGGAATTACAGTTCAGTCAGTACCAGGAGATTTGCAGTTAACACCACATTTACATGAATGCCTTTTCTTGAAATTGTATGTTGCACTTTCCCCCCACATTTGAAACTATCTTCTATTTGCTCCTACCAGGGTTTAACACTGGATGAGTTTTCAGAAGTGATTTTGGGGTCTCTAATTCTTGGGGGTTCATCCAGACATTTCAAAGGAGCCTGATAAGTCAGAGGTAAGGGAACATTAATTCACATTTTTGCCAAGCAGGGCATTCTGCAGACATGTTAAAAGTGATTTTTTTTTTTTTCCTGTCAAGATCACAAAAAAAAATTCTGTAAGTGAGGTGGGATCTGTTTTAAGATTCATGGGAAAAACACAATTCTAGAAGCACTCCTCTTAGTTTTAGAATGGAGCTTTCAGACATATATCCTAAGATAAATCACAAACAAATACATATCATACTGGCACGATGGTTTAGGGTAACCTGTGTACACTGGCATCAAACTGTATTTTCCTAGAGTGTTCTTCTTGAGCTGAATGAGCATCATAGAACAAAACAAGAAAGAATCTGTAGTCATTATACCGTGTTTGAAACAACATTACTGTATCACTGGTAGCATGCTCTTACAACCTTCTAGAGGAACAGAAATGAAACAAGGAATGCTCTTTGACTTTTCTGGAATAATTTTCTCTGAAACTTATTTATAAAAATTCTTGTAAATTGTATAACGAAAATATCTTATTTCTTTGAAATAAATCCAGTATTCTTTTTAACATTGTGGTAGAGTTTTAAACATTTTATCAGACGTGTTTGTGGCAACTTTTGAAACAAAACATCCCATTTCATCTGCAGTTGATATTGTACATTTAGCTCTGCCTTTCAGCTACAAACACCTCTTTTTTTCTCAGTATATCACACAAAGATCTGGTCCTTCCCCTGTGGACTAGGAAATCTAAAGAAAGAGCTGGCCACTGAAGGTCTTGGATGAGCGTGAGAAATTATTGGGTCTGCCAAGGTGCAGACTCAGACAAGAAAGACTGGGGATCAAAATCACAGATTCTGATATCTGGCTGTATTAAGCATGAGCATCATAAAGCAATGCTCAGTGTGGTTTTGTCCTCAGTCACTGCTGTTTGTAAGGTAAGGGTAGTTTCTTTCAGCTGGAAAGCTAAAAAGTTTTAGTTTTTCATGTTGTACTAAATAGCCAACTATTTCTAAAGGATTGATTCATATTATAGCTATTCCAATGTATACTGAAGATAGAAAAACAGATGAAAGTTTTTAAGTGAACTCTTATTACAAAAATTAAGTTTTCCTTTCCAAAAGTCTCCAGTAATTAAGTACGTCATAGGGAAAATTTGTCTCTGTTCTGTTTGAACTAACATAACAAAACTAAAGTGTGGCAGCTTTGAATTTCTTCTTGCACCTTGCTGTTTACTTAGGAGGCTTTATATAGAACATGCAGATTATCTGATACATATGTGTGGTTCTGTGCGTATCAGCATGTATGCTGATCAGGTAGTGATTCACCTCTAACAGTAATTAAGTTTTCTGGGTAATGTACAGACATTTTCCAATAGTGCCAGTTGTTCTAATAACACGCAGAACTGAGATGTGCAGGGAAATCAAGTCAGACTATATTCTTTCTGTTTGCTCTTTACTATCAAATTGTGAGCTAGCACAAATGACCACTGAAGGGGTTAACATCATTGTGGGCAGCTATTTCACCACAAAAGGGTCACGAATGCTTTAAAAAACAACCCAAACCATAAAAACAAGGAGGAAAATTACAAAAATAACCTTTTTAAAGTAAGGAGAAACTAGGGTGAAGTCTATTCTTAGCGGTACATTGTGTCTTGATGAAAAAGCTGGCAGCAGAGTTTTTTCCTGAGATATATTGAGGAAATGGGTGGTTTTTTGGTACGGTCAACAACTTGAAATCAAGTTTTTTTTAGCTTGTGGAAGTGGAAGTTATATAACCACAAGGAAATTTGGTTATTAATTTTTGTTTTTACATTTTTTTATGTTCCATTGAGGAGATTGTGGAAAGTGGAGGTAGACCCATATGTAAGGTAACACTTTTTTTCACATTGGGAGCTATTTGTTCTATAGGGTGCAACATAAATGTCGTCAAGAATAAAACCCATTAGAACATGTTATGATTGTCATGAAATATTTCAGATACACAGTACCGTTTGCCAGAATAATTTTTTGTAACATTTCTCCATGTGGGTTGTTAAATTTTGTTTATTTGCTGTAAGTTGACATTTAACAAATAGTCAAAATTCTAAATCAATTAACAAAGAGTGTTGTCTGGCCACAAGTTACTTGGAAATATTTACATCCATGACCCAAAACAGCTGCTGACAAGATGCAAAGCTTTTCTTTAATAGTCTAGTAAGATGTTTTGATGCTAAAAATAGTACAGCTTTGGCTTTAAAGACTTAATTGTTGCATTTTTATGTACTGCAGTTTTCCTTTAAAAGTCTGCATTTGGAGACCCACTTCTCAGCACAAGCAGTTTTAGCAACAATACCAATTGTAATCTCTCAAGAGTGTATTGTGTCATATTAAAAAGCTATTTTTACTACATGAGTTTGGCAGAACATGATCTTAATTTTTTCAAAAGTAACTGGAATTAAAATAGCATAGTGGATGTTTGCTTGTGAATTGGATTTTAACATTTCCAAAGGCTGTTACTTAACAGAAAGCTTCTGCACTTCTGCCTTAGTGTTGAAATGAAGGGGGCATCTTATCAAATATCTGAAACACCTGCAGTTTGCAGTAAGCTCCCTGAGCTGTCCATGAGCTAGCTCTGGTGATTCATCCCACACTGATGCCAAAGTTCTGCTCCTAAATTCAAGTGCACGTTTGAAGCTGTCAGCCTGGCAATAAGAACTGATATTATTGGAAGCTGTAGGCACAGCAACAAACCTTAAGTATTTCAGTCTTTATCTGCACAAAGTTGATGCCACCACATCTTAGAACATCTTTGGAGTTGCTAATTTGCTGATGAGAAAAGCAAAGGAAAGACATACTCACTGAGAGACAAGAAGAAGAGCTTCCTTCCACAAATGCCACTTATTTCACTGCTTTCATTTGTGGTGTAAATGTGTACATGAACAGAGAAAAGAGGTTTTGGATTCTTGATAATCCCCATATCCTGCTATCTTTAAAGACTTTGAAGGAGGAGACAGTCTATCATCAGCTGTATCTATTTCTGTTTTAGCACAAAGATATAACTCTAAATTCTGGGGAGCATGAAAAGTCATTGTAAAAGAATCCCCCCCTACACACACTGAGCTGCACAAATGGCCATTTGTGGATAACCAGTAGTTGAACCTGGGCTCAAATTTTGTCATTCTGTACAGAAAGCCCAGTGAAAGAGGGCCAGAGACTCCTTTCCTGGCAGGAGAAAAGCAAGATTGTTTCTGTAGATTGGATGTGCTGGTTTTGTGCCTGTGAACTTGGAGGTAGCAGTTTGTGTTGTGTTGAAATTTGTTCTATATTTAAAAAATATTTATTGTTGCAGATTTCGCAAGATTTTATAAAGGAGGAAAATTATGAAAGATATTGCTGAAGGGAAACTATTTACTGTAGTGGAAACTTATTGTGGACAGGCCCTCGTTGAACAAGACAAAGAGGACACATTATCCTGGCTAATCTTTTTTTCAGGTTTCCTGGGCTAGGGATCTCTAAGCTTACTTAGAGCTGGCTTTGCAAAAGTAGACCTGCTGATACCTGAAATGGGGTGTATGGACTTCTGGATGTGGATTAAATCTTACTGAAGCAGTGAGCTGGAAAAATCCAGCTACATGGAATTTCAGCCTGACAGGTCTGAGCAAACCCCAGGAGGTTCAAAGTTCATTCGACTACAGGACTGGTTAGCTAGAAAGAAGTAGTGACCATTTGCCCATTACTTCTTCATTCCCAAACCTGCTGGTGAAAATCAATAAATATTATGACAAATGAACTATTAAATACTGATTGTGAATGGCTGAACATACAGGTTTTACCCACTGCAGTTTGGGGTTTTCTGCAGTTATTTTTCATCCTGAAGTGGGCATTTCTCCCCTTCAACCTTCTCCTTCAGTTAAAGGGCACCTTGGGCTGTGTATTTATGTGTTCTGAGGGACTGCAAGGGGAAGAAATATTTGTACAGTAATATTAAATTCCTACCAATTTTCTATTTCCAGTTTATAGAGGAGAGCTTGATCTGACCAATTTATTTATTGAAATTAAGTTCCAAAATATCACTGAATAAGACATTTTCTTTAGAAAATGACAACAGACAGAAGGATTACATGGGAAAGGATAACTTGGAACCTGGAGTATATGTATGCTCTAAATACACATGTTAGTTAAAGTGAGTACTAAGGAAATATATATTGAGAGATGTGGTGGCTACAGTAGACCTGACAGTCACTGACATGAAAGACGATGAGACATGATAAACAATATATTGCTAAAATATCAAGATAAAGCAAACAAATAGCCGTTTTTATAAGTTACAGGGAAGGAATCACCTTAACAGCTTTTGATGCATCCCTGTTGTTGAAGTCTTTGTTGGAGAGGGCTGTGAATAACATTTTTCTAAAAGGTTTGTGGATTGCAGATACGTGGTCTGATCTAACCTCTGGGCTTCCTTCCTTGATCACTTTCCCTCATGCTGTGCTCTCTCCAAACTGCTGCCTCTCCTTCCAAACCAGGTTGTGATTTCTTCCTATGATAGGACCTATTCCTATTAGAAAGCAAGATAAGCTTTTACTTCCATAGACAACAGGCCACTCCAGAGTCTGCAACTTTAAAAAAACTACTGGTGTTCCAGGGGATCAGAATGGGATGTCCTGTTACTAAAATATTTTATGAAATTGAGATGATTTTGCTAGGTTTTATTTTTTTTAAAGTAACACAGTTATTTTCTGGTGATGTCATCTTCTGATACTTCAGAACAAGCTGGTTCAGTTCATTTGCTTGTATGTGAAAAGCAGGGTTCAGTGTACCTTTGTTTCTAACCAGTCAATTCATGATAAAAAACAACCTTCAGAGTTTTTCTTCATAAATTTCAGAATGAAGGCCAATTTGAAAACTTTCCTGAAACACAGCACTGCCACATACCTGTCAGTATGTGACTTTGAGCAGAGGTAGGTTATTCTTGTCATGCTTTGACTAGGGTTATACTTAGTTACTCGTACCCTGCAAATTTATCACGAACTCCCTGCGTCATGTTTTAGACAGTTCGGTTGTTTGTTATTTGGTTGTTTGGGGTTTTTTTCCAATTGACTTAGCCTTACAAAAATTCTTTTCTTTGTTTGCTGCTATTCTCAAGTAAAACATCACTGGTCTAAGTTAGTCAGAATGTATTGGTGTTTGAGGAGATACAGGGTCCTTTTTCACCCCAGACTTCTTTATGAAACAGAATTACTCACATGCTTTGGCTGCTTTAGTACCTCAGTTACAACCCTAAGTTGTCATTTCTCACTTTTATTCTGTTTGTGGGTTTTCTTCTTGCTTTCATACCTATTTGCATCGAGAGTTCCTTTGTGAAAGGATCATGCTAGTGAAAGCGGTATTTTATTCTGAACTACACCGACAATGTTTTAAAAACATTTTTCAGGAAAGAAGTCAAAGTAAACCCCACAGTGCTCATTTTGCAGGAACAGTAGGTACGTCTGGCTGATGTATCCGCAGGTAATATAGAGAAAACCCAGACTCTATACCGATTCCCAATGCAGCAGAACATAGCAAAATGTTTGTGTGATTTTTGACAAATTCAGATCTGCCTTCAGGCCAGTACAGTTATGGACAAAGCCAAAAATGTCCGGGTAGATTAGCTCTGTATTGAGATTCACCCATAATGATGATACAGGTGTTCCTTAGGGCTCTTGCAAAATTGCTGTCATGGAACAGCAGAGAAGAGTTTGGACCAGGTCCTTCCAGTATCTTTCCTGCCTCTTCAGAGAAGTGAAAGAAGGGGGAGGAGGGAAGAAGTATTCTAGAGGGGCTTGTTCCTTAGGTGTTTTTTCTGTCTAAATTGTTTGTATTCAAGGAAGGAAGGAAGGGGACATAAATATCACCACATTTAAATAGCTACTCCCTGAAGATACTTTGTTTTAATACAGTGGTATTATCAGTTCAATGAGCTGTGCGTTTTCATTTCATTCATTGCTTATACTGTGGAAGTTTCTGAAATGCTTCATTTAATTGTACTAAAGACATCAGTCATAATTTTCTAGTTAAAGTTGTAGGAGGCTTTCATTTTGAAACACCATTATAACTTTCAAAATAATTCCTTTTAGGCTGATGTTTAGTGTCAATCCAAGTGTGACTCACGTAGTAAAGTTGGAGAAAATCACCTTAGCCATTTCTACGTTATTGGAGTCTGACGAGAGTTTTCATTTTAAAAAAGGCAATTTTTCATAGCTCTGAAATCAAGCCCCCACACATTTTAGCTGAAGGTATCTGTTAGCATAGCTTAAGCAGCACAAAAAAAGAAGCCTCATGATGCAACTAAAGCACCAACCTTGGCTTGTGATGGCCCAGTGGTCAGGGTCTATAGGATTATTTTGTGCTTCTGGGCAGGCCATTTAAGCTGTATCTAAAGTGACAGCCTGGTATGCTCATGGCAAACACAGATATTCAGGTTCCCTGATCGCATAGGGAGCTGCAGAGCTCTCTGCAGCTCCTAGTGTGTTTAGGGTTTCTTCTGCAAAAAGCAAGGGTCACAGGAGGCCTGGGTCTTATGCCAGGATGGAGCCAGGGAACAGGCAGAGTGCTCAGCTGGGTGCAGAGACTTGGGAGTTCTGCATTTTTGTGTTGTTGAACTGGACATCCTTACAGTGCTTTGTCAACATCCTCCTCCTGAGAACCATCTAAAAGCCTGGTGTCTCATCCCCAACTCGAGTCTCCACCAGTCATTCTGAGAAACTCTCCAGGCTGCCCCAGCTGCATCCATGCAGACATCCTCCCATGGGTGTCTGCCAGGTGTCTGCCAGCATTGCAGGGCCCTCTCTGAAGGTCCTCCTAGCATCTGCTCATGCTTCAGCTTCTTTGTAGGATATACGTCCTGGATCCACCTTGCTGCCAGTTACAAAGGGTCATGTTGTGTGTGTGTATGTGCCTCCACACGCGTGGGAGAAGGTTGTAGGCTGATACACTGGCCAAAATATGGGCACAGATCCTGTGGGTTACCAGCCTGCCTCTTTGTTCACGTAAGGGGTGCTTGTGCTGGTGTCTGGCAGAGTACAGAACTGAGAGAAAACACACTGCAATTTTTATTACAGCCTGTTTGAATACTTGCACAGCACAGGATGGTCCCAAGACTGAGGTATGTCTGGTGGTTGTCTCCTGGCATGTCTGCTTTGGCCTGGCTGAAGTCAGCAGGCTGGCCTGGAATCACAAACACTTGTCTTTGCCACAGGAGAGCACCAGTCAGGACATGGGAGGGCAAGAGATCTGAGATCTGCAGTTGAGTTGTGAGTTTGAGAACTAAACCCCCTTATGAAGGCAGTAAAGAGCTGGGGGAGGGATATGGTAGAAGTGCTGCAGACTGACAAAACCCTGAAATCTGCACTGGCCTTGACAATACCCCTGGAATGAAGGACAAGAGCCGTAAGATGGGAGAAACCAAAAGAGGAAAACATGAATTTTCCAGTTCTTAACCTGCAAAATTTATTATTCTCCATTCCTCTATTTTCTTTTGCTCAGGAACTGCCTAACAGAGTAGAAATTTCATCTCAGCTGGTGCTTCAAGAAAACATATCTTTGCTTTAAGTTACTCTCCCCCACAGGAATGGCAAAGCTCTTTCTTTCAGCAAATATCAACTCTGGAGTGCTTCTGCTGCTGGGCAATTTGGGTTATCCTTATGACATCCAACTCCCATATTTTTCTGTACTGGTTAGCCCATAGGATCAAATAAAGTTCAGGGACTTATCTTCAGCTGTATAGGTGGCTCAGGCCAGTGAGCAAATGAATCATCTAAAGCTTTATAACCTTTAAAAATGTAAGCATTCAGCAGAAGACCATAGTCAATACCTGTCTTCTGACAGACTGTAATTGCCAGAAGGACTGTGAGGTTTATTGTGCAGGAGGTAGAAATGCTTGTGAGTAAGGACCAGAACATGAGATTAATGCTTCAGGAACTAAGGTCACCATAAAAATGACTTCCTGTACTGAGGCACTCCTCCCCAGTTTTGTTATTAAAAAGAAGAAAGGATAGAGGTATGGCATTTTCCACCAGGGCCTTACCAACATGAACTTTTTTACTGTACACCCAATCTCAAA